CTCCATAATCTTCCTCGGTGCTGAGATCAGGCTGACAGACCTGTAGTTCCCAGGATCCTCCTTACAGTCTTTCTTTTAGATATATCAGTGCAGGTAGCGAAGTCTCCCTCCTTGGAGATATTCAAAACCTGGCAACATGGCCTTCAGCAACCTGCTCTAGTTGCCCCTTCTTTGAGCAGTGGAGTTGGACTAGATGATCTCCAGAGGTCCTTGCCAACCTCTGCATTTCTGTGAATTTTAAAAGACAGTGAATTTTGAAGACACAGAAATGGCTACATCCTTTTTCATGTCCTCACAATTGAACCTACCTCTACCAGTATCAAACAACAAACGTATCTGAAAGTGTTGTGAGATGAAGTAATAATAAAAACCACACTAGTATAACACAAAACATTTGTGAAGGTTTAATTGGGGCATTTACTGGAAAACTCAGATGAGGACAATGTAGAGCATTAACTCCTTAGTAATTAATTCCACATTTTGCAAAGACAAAAGTTTCAGGAAGGATAAGAAAAACATTAGGAAAACCACATAAAAGTCATGACCGGGATCCGTAACACACCTCACTTAACACAAATCAGGAGCTGACATGAAGCAAGAACAGTCTTTACATTTAACCTGCGCGTGGATAGACACTCTGAAGACAGACTGCTAAAGTGAACCGATTTTGGCACTAGTGAAAAAGGATGGCTTTTTTCTCCTCTCAAGCAGATCTACTGTAATGTCAAATAGATACGTAAGATTTTAACAGCCTAGGTTTTTTCCATAGGGCTCCCTGAACTGTGCGTTTAACTTTGCCAGCCCAGCAGGTAGATACTGAAGAGTGTCTTCTCCCTCTTTTTTCCAAAGGATGGAAGTAAAAGAGACTACCATTCACTTTTCTTACCAGAAGAAATAGAAGGAATTCTTAGAAGACACTAAGACAACAGAAGAGAATGTTCATGTCATTCAAGCCTTCAGATCTGCTGAAAAGAGCTATTCATAGTACAGCTTTCCAACTGCCCAAATTAGATACAAATCTCAAAATTCTACACCCATCTGTAAAGTCCTGCACAGCTGTACTTAGGGACAGTTACCTCCTACTACTATGCTGAAAGACAGGAATTAGTTTTTGTTGACTTGCTGTAATAAAATTTTATTATAAGCTTAGGGTATCCTCAGTATGCACCCAATCCTTATAAACATAGATAATTTGCACAGAGATATTCAGCTCTTCCTAATACCACTCCGTTTTGACAGATGGCAAGATCCAATCATTATCACATCTATATGAAGTTAGCTACATAATAAGGAAATGCATATGAATTTGCATTTTTCTGAAACACAACAATGCATTCTCTTCTCCAGGAGACAAACCAAACAGCCTCTGCCCTCAGCAGTTAACAAAAAATTAGTCAGTTGCGTGAAAAAATGTTGGTTTTAAGCCCCTAGATTTGTAATTCTAAATTACATAAAGATCTCAAATCACTACTTAATACAGCTTAAGAATCCAAAGCATTTCTTATAAAACTATGTAACATGAAAAATAAATATCTGTTGCTTGGAGTTCATTCAAAATGCTGAACTTAAATATCATTCATTCCTTGTCCAGAGTTCAAAGCACAAACACCACATGTACTTTACCTAGGGACAGGTATCTTCAAGTAAGAAGAAAAAAAAAAAGTATTTCACGTACTCATAAAACATAGATTTATGATTTCAGACATGATTTTTATATTAAAATTCTTGTATGTGTAACTACTATTACAGAACAACCTTAAGACATCCCTTGAAGCGTACTAACATTCCATATCACCATCCAGGCCAGTAAGATTGTGTCAAACTGGCTGTAGTTTTAACCCTGTTCAGTGCCAACAGTCAAAAGCTGGGACTTGATGGTTAACTGACCTTTAGAACATACAGATCAACAAAAAATATGTTTATTACTGTTTTTATTATTCTCAGGCAGCAAATTCTCCAAAGTCCTCCAATAACCAAACCCACGTGTTACGTTGCTGGCTCTATCTTGTCAATCTCTTCCTTCTTTGGACCCTCCTCTCGGTTTTTGCCCTGCTGCATGGTATGCACCGATGGGCCCATCCTTAGGATCTTCCCACTGCCCAAGCACTCATCACCCTTGTAGAACACGGCAAACTAGGAGATAAACACAGGGAGAGTCTTTTCAGCAGCTGCAAACAGCATGGAGAGCAACTGCAGGCTGTGCAAGACCTGCTGGACACTGAGTGTATTTATTTATATTTTTTCTGACTAAATCTTAAAAAAAAAAAAAAAAAATTAAAAAATGCAAAGGATTTCTTGGCTCATACAAGTGTAAATATAAACATGTTGATGGAAATTCCATCATGAACTTCTACAGTATTATCTCAAAACTCTTCAGTTACTAAGGTGGAATGGATTGTGCTGGAAAGCTTCCTTTCTCAAAGGGGACAACATACATATCATCTGCATCTTCACCAGACCTTCCCCAGATACCTGTGCCCAGGCTACAGTGGCACTTCTCAAAACAGGAAAGGGACCAAGGACTACTGGAACAGACTACCTGGAAGGAAGCGACGGGGGGTCCCTGATGTGCTCAGCAGGTGTTTGCAGGAGAGGAGGAGCACAGACGTCCTGGCCTTGTCTTGTTACCTTGCAGTAAAGAGCCCGGTTACCGGCTCAGCAGCTCCTGGTCATCAGGGGCTTTTCATGACTATCATCAGCTCTGGCTGGAGTCTTCTCAGCTCAGTGTACTTCTCTTAAGTGTATTTCTCCATCAAAAATAGCTCTCAGACAATTTCCCTCCTGATGTGTCCCATGGGCCCCAAAGTTTTGGGGAGGGAAAGGGAGGGTAGAACATAAGCTGGGAGAGGGCATGCAGAAAATGTTTGAGAACCACTGGTTTACGATGTGATCGAGTATCTTTGTATTAGCAGTGTTAAAAGGCACCTCTTCTCAGTACTGTTCCGGGACAACAGATCCTTACTAAACACATTTGAACACTAGAACCATATTAAGCAGCCAATTATCAAACGAATGTCTTTTTAAATCTATTTCTTGGAGACAACAGGTTCCATTTCTGCTTATAAAACTGATTACCAGAGGTGACTTCATGTATTTCTAAAACTTGTAAGCCAGTTTCTCAGACTATATGGATAACAACCACCATATAAAACTAGAAACAAACTCCTTCAAAAGAGTTGATGAATAGTCAAAATAGAGCTAACTGCTGTCACATGCAAATAAATTAATTATTTTGCTCCAGCTAATAAAAACACTACTCTGTTTTATTAGGCAGATAAGCCAAAACACAAAAAAGGAAAGAAAATCACTTCTAATAACTTACCTGCCCAGGTGTGATAGCTCTTGCTGGCTTCACTAGTGTCACCCACACACTCCCATCTTGGTTTAGAGTCAGAACACAAGGCACTAGAGCAGAAAATGGCCAAACACTTGCCAGTTAATCCTTATGTTCACATTAAAAAACAGAAAAACCTTCATCACTCAGTTAAACAGATGTAAGTCAAGATAATACTACACAGAATTGTTCTATAAAGACACTACAGAAAGGCAAGCCAAAACATTCCAACTATTTCTGCAAAACTACACTGAACACACTACCAGTTTCACAAAATGAGTAAAACAAAAAACAAAACAAGGTTTCATTACCCAGTGCCATCTGGTGCCGAAACCTGAAATGACATTCCATCATTTTATCTCTAATGAGCTCTGCAGGAGGTTCCTCTGCTATCCAGTGCACTCGGTTTGTCCGCAACAGGTCTCTGTACAGAGCAGGGTGATCTGTTGACGGTGCCTTAAAACATGTTTATTTAATGCTGATGTTTTTGCCAGAGAGTGTATAACTTGTAAAGCATGAAATACAGAAGCAGTATCAAACCATATCAAAATGAAGGCAAAATAAATAAGAAAGCATTTATTAGCACTTAATCAGCTTCCAGGTGGAAACCTTTAATGAAGAAAATAGGCTAAAGCAAGCCTGAATTATTTGTCAGTCTTCTCCATCTCAAGAAGTGTTGTCACTTCTTGTATTCTTTTTCCTCCAATCATAATTTCTGCCTCCTTCATGCTGAGTTCAGGTATCTACTGCCCTCCTTACCCTACCTCAACAAGATCCTACCTCCCTCTTCTCCAATTTCTCAACTCAACACCTCCCCAACAAAGGTGTTGCACACACACAACCTTACTGTAGGACATAAAAAAAACCTTCTTAGTGGTCCTGCCTGTTTCCTCCCAACTCTCATTTGATTATGATTTCCCCCCACCTCCAGGCACATCAACAAGTAGCAGAACACCTCATTATAATCACATCAGTATCAAATACGAATAACAACTGCATTAAGAGCAAAAAACATTAACAGTGATAGCAAGCTGCAGAATTCCCAGTCATGTCATATGATTAGTCATTAACCCAACAATTATTTGCAGTATTATATATATTCTGCCTCGGTTTTCAAAAAGATAAAACTGTATTACTGGCTACTACTTCTTTTACTAGGAAAAGAAAGTAGCAATACATAGTAAAACAAGATAATACACATTTTATATAGTATCAGAACTACTACAATAAAAACGTCATGTTTTAGAGTAGAAAATGAGAGCTCAGTAGACTAGCTGATTCTTTTCAGTATTTGCCTTTTGTTTGGAAAAGTTTTATGCCAAAATCTGCAACAATTCTCTACTCAAGAAGAGCCAGTTTGGACAAGATGTTTCATATCTGCTGATGCTGCTCTCGTTGATTCTTGTTTCCCTCAAGAGGAAAGCCAAGAATTCTGCCCGGGTTAGAATCACATTCCATACAGCAGGAGTCACAAAATGCTTGCATTAGTTATTTGCAATACCAGTTTTAATTAACTCACCACAAAGACATCTCCAGTGCTGACATCTTTGTCTACAACGAACCAAGCATCCTTCAGACCTGCTAGTCTAGCCCTCTGGCCTATTGTGTAAAGGAACCAACCTAAAGAAATATGAAAATGTAACACTGCTAGCAACTTCTATTCTTTCACTTTCAGAAAAATATGTTAAAATTATTCCCCCAAAACTTTACCACTAAACAAAGAATCACAAACCAAGTTGTCTTAGAGAAGTGTGGCATTACAAACTAAACTAACATCTACTTGAAAGTTTTCATCTCTACCTGAAGCGCATGATTTCAAGCTAATCTGTTTCAATTGTGGTATTCTTAGGGTTTAGAAAAGACAAGCGCTTATTTCTCTATTTCAGCTTCAGTTTGTGGTTTTGCTACCACTCAGTCTTACCAGTTTCCCTTACTTTTAGGTAGTGGTAGAACATCCTGCTTCCATAAATTACCTGGAAGAGGAACTCAGTTCTGGCAGCTAGAACTGAGGAGAGCAAAGGAGGGACACACAGAAGGAAAGGAAAAGGTAAGCTGCCCATTTTTGGTGATGTCCTACTATGCATCACTGAGGTGCACGGTGTATTTTTTCTGCAAAGTCTAGGTACTAAAGAACCTGGAACTGAAGCACAGTAATTTTGAAAGAATTAAATAGCAAAGGTCTCTCAGTAGTAAATGAACAACCACTTAGTATCAACAAAGTAACCCTAATAATTATCACTTACTTTCTTGCAACGTGGAACAAATAATCAAGAATCAGTTGTAGTTCAAGGCTCTACTATTATATAAAGTAAGTTTTCCATGATTATTAGTTATCAAACTCAGAAAAACCTGCAGGCTGATTTGGAATTTCACAAAAATTTGTCCCTCCAAATACAAGCAGTATTGTTCCATTTATCTAAAAGCAGTTATTAAGGTGGGTTAGCCAATTACCTTTGTGTGTTCCCAGAACCTTCTTATCTTCAATGGAAACAAAATTACCTGGTCGAGGTTCTAAATACTACCAAATAGAAAGAGATTGGTTAAGCCACAAGATGGCCCCAAAAAACTTGACAGTATATTTCAGGTTCTGTCACTACATTCTCTTGAAGTGGGAAAGGAACTTCTCCATAAGCAAACTCTGCCCAAGCAGCTTACTGCCTCTTCCCTGATGCTGCTTTAGAGAGAAAAGTAGGAACGGCAGTCCCTATCAGCAGTAATTCTGGGCTTCACTCCCCCCATCCTCACTTACGCCAGTGACAGCAGGATTCAGCCATTTGCCCCTCTCACATCCCAACGACATGCCAGAGCCTGGCAGGCACAGGACTGCAAGTTCACACACTCCTTTGGCGACAGACAGTGACTGACTGTTTGTTGGTGGAGGGGCAAGATACTTTCTACAGGCTATTGGCATTAGCTTCTGGGTAGGCTTGGGACTGCAAAGGAAGATGGGACGTTGCTACTTAGCATGGGCCACAAGCTGTTGGAGATTTTTCTGTAGACAGTGTCATAAATTACTACTGAAAACAAGAACAGAACATAAAGTTGTCATAGATTTAATGTTGCTCACCTCAAGAAGGAAATTTTCAAAGTTTCTTTCACCAATGAAACAGACTCCCATACTCTGAAAAGGAAACATGGTATTGAATCTATAAAAGCAGAGAAAAACGTTTGAAATAATGTCTATTAATAACCTGTCCAAGATGGATTTCCACCCCCGATGTGTCCCAAACTATGCTAGGCATCTCACAAAATAAACAAAACCACATCATCTGCTCCAACATAGGTAAACTAATTCTATACAGTATCAGTGAGAGCCATAGGCACAGAAGAGGAGAAAAATAATCAGAAATAGAACACGTTGAATAAATAAATACATTAACCTTGACGACTATATTGTATGTATATTAAAAACAGAAGTCTCTTTCAGATTCAAGTACAAAAGTAACACAAATTACACAGTAATGGTATACCTCTTGAAAAAAAAACCTTTAAAAAACAAATAGGCTTTCCTTTCCCTTTCAGCTACTGCCTACATTCTTCAAACACCTATTTACAGCAGATGAATATAAACATTAAAACCAATCAAGACAGCATCAGTAATACAACTGCTGTCTGCATTATATTTTTTTAGATCAATTCACGAAGTGTTAGTGCTCAGAGAACAGTAACTGTGGCAAAACAGTATGACCCAATTTCTGTAGAGACATATTGAAAAACAATTACAGTGAGGAAGCCTTTAAAAGCTGTGGAAAATAAAGACCAAAGGCTTCTCACCTGCTGTGATAGGGAATGCTTTCCTTAAGGCTCACAGCATCCTAACACATTCACCTTCACCTTAGCTCTTCTAAGACACAATGGTAGACAAATTATCTGCAAGCTAAAATACACAGCTAACCACAAGCTCATAAAAGTGCTTTTAAGCAAGTAGACAGCTATAAAACTGCTTCCCAACCTATTCTATTATGGTGCTCGGAAACAGACGAGTTGCCAGAGATTAAAGTTCAAAAAGTTCAGGAAAGTCTATTCTAGAGAGAAGTACAAATCAAAAGACTTTAAGTGTTACCATGCCTCTTTTTTCTTTAGCACATGATGAAGGCCATGTTCAGCTGCTATCTTCTTTACAAAACTTTTTGTCAAATCCCCTAAAGGGAAAATGGTTTTCCTCAAAGCATCCTGCGAGATCTGACTTAGAAAGAAGGTCTGGTCCTTAAAGAGGTCAGCCCCTTGAAGGAGTTTCACAGCTGCAAAGTGCAGAACACATAAAGCATCTCAACATAACGCCCTTTAATAGTTCAACTTCCTTTAGTATTTTGTTTGACAATCAACATTTTAGTTTTATTATTTCCAAGTACATGTTAAAGACAGTATTTTAAGGTTTTTCAAAATCTGACTAAAAATGTTTGGGTATTTTCTCACCACTAAAAAGATCTACAAAGCTTCTGACTTTGTACAACGTGGAATCTTACAAAGTCTTACACTGCCTCATCTATTACAACACTGCTTGTATCATTGGCAAGAACAACAACAATATGAAAAACAAAAACAACTTTCACATGAAGTGTGAAAGAGAGAATGAAGATTCAAATACCTTAGAGTATATTGTTCTTCAAAAAGACATTCGGTTTTGCCCTGAAATCACACTGCTATAAATCAATGATTTGAACAATCAGCAGTTATTCCCAGTGCTCAGAGAGAAGAGTTTGACTTTTTTCTTTAAAACAGATGAAGTCTCCCGATTGCCCAGATGAAATAAAATTGGTATAGTTTTTCAGTCATGTTCTGTCCCCTCTCTTCAAGAGCTAATAGCTCTGCTGTTGTACAAACTCTACTTACATGTTCCTTGACTTAAACGAATATTAACTACAGGCTAATCGTTCAGTCACAACTAATAATACAAAATCTCAGCAACGGGGCGGGAAGCCTGTTTAAAACATCACAAAATACAATGACTGTGAATCACAGTCTGTCACAAATATAGACTGTTGGTCCTGCTGGGGCCATTTCTACTTTCCAGAAATAAAATTTAAACAAACAAACAAATAAACCCATTTAAGTACAGTACAAACAAATGAAAGCGGGAAAGCTGTAATACAAAAACATCACCATGGCAGCTTCGCATAGTGGTAGTTTGCAAGTTTCTTTCCCTTTGGGTATAGCACGCTTCTCCTTACACAGAGCTTCATCTGAGTTACTCTACTGCATTATGGCCCATTGCAGAGCTATTTGGGAAATCTCTACAATGCCATCTAAGCTGTGACAGTGCCATGCAGAGACATAACCAAAATAGCATCCATCAAGCTGGCTTTGGTACCAATAACAAGAGAAACCACTGTGGTGCTGAACTCAACCTCTGATTACATACAGCCACAGGCAGACGACTAAAGCGAAGAGCAAAATCTGCATTGCTGCTACTAGTACCTTTGCTGACATGAGAATTGTAACCTTAAAAATGTCTGCATATGCTGCACTTGCACTTTTCAATTGCAGTGTAGGCAGAACCTTGATCTACCTGGGAAAATCAGGCTTCTACAGGAGAACAGAGAAATAAGGCAGAATAGTTGAATTACTGAAGAAGAACATGATTTTTTTCCAGTAAAATAATATACAGTCTAATAGTATGTTACTAATTTTAATGTTTCAAATCCCTAATTCTAAAATTCCACTTAAGCATATTCCCATGATGAGTTCTATCGAGACAATATACCAAATAGCCAAAGAATACATTCCCTAAAATAGAAGAAATATTAAAAAAGAAAATTTTATGTAAGCCATGGAAATACTTCGTAAAGATTTCCTGAAACACTTCTCCAAGATTATGGAAGATAGCCCTGTCCCCTTAATCCACATTACAGCTCCTCCAGAATGTTGATTACTACTGAAATGCTTATTCCTACCTCTGCACCTGGATTAGAACTCTTAAAAATAGAACGTGTAATACTTGACTAGTCAGGGTAATTTTCAGTAATGTAAAGCCTCTGTTTTGTGCAATTACCCTTCTACAAAGGCTGGGGTTTAAATAAAGTTAAAACACTTGTTGTGTGTAAGATAACAAACTTCCCTGACTCTGTGACACCAAATATAGTTTAAATTTCTGTTTCATATCTATGGCGAAATATGAAATGAAGAAACCACTTACTATTTCTAACTTCAAAACGGTTTCTGAAAAGCCTTTGTGGTCTTTTAACATGTTTCTGTTGAAACACTTCTTCATCCTCTAGTGAGGTCCTAGCATAATGCCCAGTAGCAATTGCATCTGCTCCTATCAAGAAAAAAAACACAAAACACAAAGGCACATATTTGAAATTCAGAGTTTAAAACAGGATTATAAACATCCAGTAGAAAAAGAAGCAAGCAATGAAGGAAGAAAACCTATAGAGAGGTCTTATACTGACAATAATAACGTAAACTATTCATCAGCATGCCAGCACTTGTGCTTCTGTACTTTAAGGACCACCTAAGAATGTAAAACTTAATGGTCAAGTCAATGTATGTCCCCAAATTACATCTGTTCCCACATATGAGCAACCTAGCCTAGTGGAAGATGTCCCTGCCCACAGCAAAGAGGGTGGACTAGAAGATCTTTAAAAGTCCTTTCCAACCTGAACCATTCTATGATTCTATATGTAAAAGCAAACTTAAAACCAAATACTTTGCGATGATTGAAATACTGCCACGGAGATATGTGAATTAGGCATGCATATGAACTCGTGTTTTTCCCCACCTTTTCAAGAGTTTGTATCCTTTAAGCATTTCCATGGCACACACTCTGTACTGACACACTTGAAAATGCCTTACCAAGGTTATCCATAGCATAATGAAGAAAGTAGTTGAATTTGATGTGCTTGTTACACACAATATCAGGATTAGGAGTCCTTCCCAATTCATACTCTTTTAAAAGGTCACTGTAAAATAAATATTCAAATATATATCAACATTATTAACACTGCATAATACTATCCAAGACTGAATAATCTGTTTAAACATCAGAACTTGAGACCCAATCATACTAAGCATTTTATGTAAGAAATAAAATACCCATTAGATTTTAACCTGTAAAAGACAACACTTGGAAGATTTTCTCCAAAATGCACTGAGGACATCGTCAAATGATCACTCACAATTTTGTAACCGTTTTTTATTAAATTCATACTCCCTCATGGGAGACACGGCTGCTCACTGTGCACATCCTACTCATCTCTTAACGAAATACTTTCAGAATTAAACAACCCTGTTTAATTTTTCAAAGTGATAGTGCAGTGGAATACACACCAGGAGTTACTGTGTCTCAACTGAATGGACAATAACTTAATCTGCAACAATACCACCGTAAGAAGTCATGGGGCTCAATTTTATAGATTTTTTTTCCCTGTCTTCTTTTTTCTTCAAGAAATTCAAGTAGTTTCTCAAAGTCATGTTGTAGTTTTTACACAGTCGTGTAATTAAAGTGCTTAGCATTATTTGCTTGAAAACACTGAGATAATAATGAATTTATTGGTTAATGAAATTAAACCAGCATACAGTGATGCATTGAGATATCAAAAGGCCTGATCACTTGCATTAGTTTGCATTTTGTATTTATTTGCCATCACAAAGTGTGATTTTCCTCAGTAGCCACTGAAGTCAAGAGGAACCAAGGGCATAGACTGGATTTAAAAGAACATCAGCAACCCTAGTATTTGGTTTTACTTTTCACCACCTGAAACAGAATCAATTTCTTCTTCCTTATCCCATTATACATTACATTCATAAACAGAAAATAAAGCAACATATCTTATATGTTGTCTAACTCCTTTTTAACAGTTCTGAATTCAACAATTCATACTAATAATTAAATAACGTGGGTTTACCCACAGCCGCCTCCCTCTTGCTGGCTCAGCACTGTACTCTCACAATAAGAATCCTCCTTTGTAAATACTGCAAGAGTACACTGGAAGCTTTATAAAAGACTCAGCACAGAGCCAGGCTCACATCAGTTCAGAACTTCAAGTACAGTACTGAACTGGAGAAAAGGTAATGAAGGATGCCTACTGAATCTCTCTCTGCCGTAAAGATCTGAGACAGAACTTGCACAAACCACGGAAAGACAAGACCTGGAATAGTTCTCTTGATAAAAGGTGGATTTTGATGAATAACCCTTTAAAGACCCAGAGGAGGAGTAAATTCAAGGTCAGTGAGGACAGTAAAGAAAAAAAAGGTTCCAAACCAAACCAAGACACTTGCAACAGATTGTTTGGAAACATAAATAAATGATGAGAAGCGAAAGAAAAGCTGATAATTTATGTGTCATTCACAGACACCCAACACCCCTCAAGAGTTGTGATACATTTATTCATTCTCACACACCAGGAGGGAAAAATGGAGTGAACTTTCCCAGAACGGGCTCTGTTATTCACTGACTGTACAAAAGTTTAGCACTCAACTTGATGTCATTTCAACATGAAGTAGAAGTAGCATGACTAGGTTATTCCTCAGTTTCTATGACAAGGTAACAACAGCACTACTTAAAGGGGGATGATGCAGATCAGGGAACAACTTTTACATACTTATGTTGAGTGTGTAAAAGATAAATTATGTTGTTATACCAATACTTCCCTCCTTCTCCTGCCTCCCAAGAAAAACTCTCAGCTTCTCCTGTGTGGAACTTTCTTCCCTTAAAGTGGAACAAATTCACACAAACTCTGAACACCCTTTTTCGAGAACAGTTTCAAATTTGTTCTAAGTTTAAAGAAGCAAGGCTAGTTCACAATCACTTTGTGGTAAACTGGATTCAATATATATTAATATAAAACACACTGCATAAATTACACACAGAGACAATAATAGTACCCCATTAAATATTGTTCTCTCAAGTCGCAATAATGTTGGGCCAGTATGTGAGAAGCAGAAGAAATGAGCCACAACAAAGCAATTGCTACACACTCATAATAACTAGGGAGAAATCTCCTATTAATTTCAAAAATAACAAACATATTAAAACCAACACATAAATTCTGATCTTAAATATGAGAGAAAAAACAATTCCTCCAATATTTAACAGGCTTCAGTACTTTCTCTTAGCAGTGGTAATATTGCAATAAATTGCCGTTGCCCATTATCTGTCCATCCTTACTTTTCACAGTATCACAGAATCATCAAGGTTGGAAAAGACCTTTAAGATCTTCAAGTCCAACCATCAACCCAACACCACCATGCCCACTAAACCATGACCTGAAGTACTATGTCTACACGTGTTTGGAACACCTCCAGTGATAATGACTTCACCACCTCCCTGGGCAGCTGGTTCTAATGCT